GGGTCCCGGGTGGCCAGCCCGTGCAAGGATTAGGTAAGGTCCCAGCAAAAAAAAAAAAAAAAAAAAAAAATCCAAAATTTCTGAAAAAAACTATGTTATGCAGAAAAATAAACTGAACGACTTTTGCCTTAGGGTCACATCGAAATTCTTTACCCAAAAAAAAAAAACATTTATAAATTAAAAATTATTATTATAAATTTATTTAATTTTATTATTATTATTATTTTTTTTTTTTTTTTGGGCCCGGCCGGGCAAGTGATCCCGGTTCACTCTGGTAGCCTAGCCTCAGGCGGGAAAAAATAGTGGAGAGCAATAACCACTTTGCATTTCCATTTTGTTCTTGTTTTCCCCCGTTGCCATTAATTTAAGTTGATTAAAGATCATCATGTCAAACATAGGGTCCGCAACACCCCCCCCCCCCCGGCTATTTATGTATTCCCTGCCCGCCTCCCCCTCCACTGCCCTCCAACGTAACAGGAAAAAAAATGGGCCAAACGTTCTTCCTCCGCTCTTTCCCCCTTTCCCCCTTCCAGCTCCTGCAGACCCTTTTTCTGGCAAAACGACTTGTAAAGGCCACTTACCGTCCTCGTGTAGATGTACTCAGCCAACTGCGACGACTTCAACACATCATCCAAATGCTCGAGTCTGACAAAAAATAATGACCACAGGATGGATGCAAGATCAATGGGTCAAAATTGTAGACAATCACTGTCCACATCTTATCGTCCAGGTTCGAGTAATGTTTTTTTTTTTTCCTTTCCTTTTCTTTTTTCAGAAAGGGCTACGGTCGTGAGATATCATCATCAAACTGACCGGCCCTATGTAATTTAAAATTCTGAATTGTACGCAGTATTTAACTCTTCTGCTTCCAGTGGAGTTCGAACTCTCGACCTGGTCTGTATTTCAACAGTTTTTCAAGGGTGTACTGGCTCAGTCTTTTTTTCCCCTTGAAGTTTCTAGCAACTTTTTTCTTTCCCCTTGAGATATCATCATTTATTTCCACTGGCGTTCGAACTCAGGTCTGTATTTCAAGTTTCAACACTTCAGTTCAGTTCAGGGGTGTACCAAATGAGCTAAGGGCCAGTTGGTGTAATTTTTTATTTTTTTATTTTTAACTTGACAAAAAGAAAAACATTAATTAATAATTACTAATTAGTAATTACCCAAGGAGCAGGTCATAGACATTCCATAATCTTGGAAAGATAGATTTGAAGTGGTGTAGAACTCACTGAAAATGTTTTGGGCGAAGTTTCGGGAAGAAATTGAGAAGAACCCCCTGAAGAAGTTTCGGGGGAAGTTGCGGGAGAAGTTTCGGGCTTGGCATTCATTGAATCCGTTACGCTGCATCTCATACCTGTGTATCTTGGATCTAATGATCCCTCTCTCTCTCTCTCTCTCTCTCTCTCTTTCTCTTTTTTCTTTTTTGTGGGCATCGACCGACCATGACAGCATACTTCTTTCGATGCCCACAAAAAAGAAAAAAGAGAGAGAGAGAGAGAGAGAGAGAGAGAGAGAGAGAGAGAGAGAGAGAGAGAGAGAGAGAGAGAGAGAGAGAGAGANGAGAGAGAGAGAGAGAGAGAGAGAGAGAGAGAGAGAGAGAGAGAGAGAGAGAGAGAGAGAGAGGGAGAGATCATTAGGTCCAAGATATACAGGTATGAGATGCAGCGTAACGGATTCAATGAATGCCAAACCCGAAACTTCTCCCGCAACTTCCCCCGAAACTTCTCCCGCAACTTCCCCCGAAACTTCTTCAGGGGGTTCTTCTCAACTTCTTCCCGAAACTTCTCTGGGCCCGAAACTTCGCCCAGTTCTACACCACTTCAAACCTATCTTTCCAAGAAGGACAATCAACTGCACAAACATCGACTGAAAGTCCGAAACTACCTGGTGGAGGTAAGCAGACTTGAACCACTGACCTCCGCCACGGGATAAGCAACTACCTTAGTGACCTCCTCTCTTTGGTCTTACTTACCGTCTTCTCCCGAATAGAACGTACGGTCATGACAGCCATATTTGCTGCACCTACCTCCCTCTACATACAGTAATAATGACGGTACGACGTGTACGTTCTACTCGGGGGAATACGGAACGAATCAGCAGATTGCAAAAGTTACTCCATTCCCCCAAAAAGTACCATACAACTTTCATCGTCTGATGCTCTCCATAGAGAATTCTATATTTGAATGTCCTTATCTATATTATTAATCATACTTTCGAAGTTCCGCTGGCATCTGGAACTACCGTCTTCGCCCGAATAGAACGCCCGGTCATTATAGCTGTATCTAGACCGAAAGTTACACCAAATGCAGCTCTAATGACCAGGCGTGAAGACGGTAGCGCTCTGCTAGAATCCGGAACTGGCAGTCCCTGCAGGATCCCTCCTTCTGATCTGTGAGAGGATGATAAAGAGCATCATACACTTGGTATACATCCTGGTGAAGTCCCAGCAAGTACCTGGTCACGGGTATAGATAAGTACCTGGTCACGTAAGTACCCTTAGGTACCGTCCGTAGGCAGTCAGTTCCTTGTCCCGACGTACAACGTAACCCTTCACAGCTAGTCAAATCGAAATATCCATCTGGAATCGAAACCGGTACCTACCGTATCATCATCCTGTAACAGGTCCTAGGATCGAATCCGGCTACTGTCCCCCTACTATGACATCACCACACCAAACAAAAGGGGTCAAATCACGGTACCTTTCGTCGCAGTGCATAAGCAACAAGTCCTCGGTTCCACTCCTGTATCCAGTTGCGGATACTTCCAAAACGGGTACGTAGAGGACCCGAGGGTATGTCACACAAAAGAAGTATAAACAACCAAAGGTGAACTCGTGCGAAGCTTTACGGGTCCCTCGGTCACCCAAAAGACTTAGAACCAAAGGTGAACACATGTGAATCTTTACGTGTAGTACGATGAACAGCACAGGTACGATAGTAGTGCTTCGCATGAGTTCACCTTTGGTAAGTTTGGTTGGTTCTTTCGTGTGACGTACCCTCGGGTCCTGTGCGTACCCGTTTTGGAAGTATCCGCAACTGGATACAGGAGTGTAGCCGAGAACTTGTTTATGCCAAGAATCCCCTAGGGCCCGAAGAATATCAATGCCAATAAAGAGCCAAACAGAGAGACTAACAGAGAGACTAACAGAGAGAGACCGAAAAGAGCGAGACTAACAGAGAGAGACTCACAGAGAGAGACTAACAGAGAGAGACTAACAGAAAGAGACTAAGAGAGAGACTAACAGAGAGAGACTAACAGAGAGAGACTAACAGAGAGAGACTAACAGAGAGACTAACGGAGAGACTAATGGGCATTAGCACAGGGGGTAGGTAGAGACTAAGAGAGAGACTACCGGGCATCAGCACAGGGGGGTAGGCAGAGAACATCTGCACAGGGGATATATTAGGGGGTACATACTACATAGTACAGACTACATACACAAAGAGATGCCTATTACTTGCGTTTTTGACCAGGTTCATGCGTTCTGAGCACTTGACAACTTTGCAAATCTTCCAAACACAAATTTAAACAGCGTCACTTGCTGATTAGATCGATAACACGAATAAATAATTGGTCAGCTGGGGGTTGAGCCAATTCTTAATCTCTCAATGAGATGGTGAATGAATGAATGAACGAGGGTCAATCCTGATGCGGCAGATGTCGCACTCAGAATCCTCAAAGCATCATCCATATACACAAGTTTATTATTGATGTTAAGCAAAACGACTGGACTGGTAGCACTTTTTCTTGCAGGATGTGTGTTTGCTACGTTATCTCCCCCTAGTACTTAAAAAAAAAAAAAAACATTCTTTTACATTTAATAAGATCGCAAAGTTACAAAGTGTAAGAAAAAAAAAAAAAAAAAAAAAAAAAGAGAGAGAGAGAGAGAGAGAGAGAGAGAGAGAGAGAGAGAGAGAGAGAGAGAGAGAGAGAGACTTAGCAAAGTTAATATGATAAATATTTAAGTTCATAGTTAAATAGGTTTAATTATATATCGTCACAGAGTTATCAGAGCGCAAAAGCGGAAAAAACAGAAAATATATCAATTCATTTTTAACCTTCTTTGAAGTTCTTTCTTACAACTACCCCTGTTCAGAACCTCTTGCGTACAAGGCCACCCACGTGGATGTGGTTGAGCGGCGGCTGCCCCCACCCCCGTGTGTCATATTGATCCACTTGCACACAGCCAAAAGGCAAAGAGCCAAAGAAAAGAGGAAGGGAACAGCCAAATACAACAAAACAGGGGGCAGCAAGATCCTGGATGACAAGCCCCACATATAAGCACCGCCCCCAACTTCACAGGCCAAACGACGGGACAAGACCAACCAGGATATCAAAACACTCTTGCCTGCAAAAAAAGAAATCCCAAATACATATCTACATACAGCAGATGGCCTTGTTCGTCATCAAGAAGTTGGCATTCCTATTCGTAAACCCTTCATGCTCTCATAGGCCGAACAACGAAAAAAACCCGGTGATTGGCCCCACATGAAAGCACCGCTACGCTCGCCAAAATAGACCGAACAACGGGACTACACCAACCGGGATGCAGACAAGGTTGTCAAAAAACAAACATAACAGATCCTAGATGACAAGTCCCACATCCAAGCTAATAACAAAAACAGAAACAAGCCAGAAACGCCGTAAAAAGGAAACTTAAGTACTTACACAGCCTGAAGCGTAGCCTCCCTCTCTTCAGCGCAGGTCAATTCTCCTCTCAGCTCCTGAACCTCCTCAGTCACTTCACCCAGCTGTGACATTGTACCCCCCCCCAAAAAAACAGAACCAAAACAAGAAAAAACAATCTGTCATGACAAACACACTTTGGCTGCGTAATTTCCCTCGCAAGGGGATAGGTTATTGCTCCAATCATCCTATTTCTGTGTGGCCTTGCAAGTCATGTTTCCCTACCCCACCAGCACTGCTGCCTCTCCTTCCCCCCCCCCC